TATATATATAAGTGTGTGCGCGCGAACGTGTATCAGATATTTTACATTAATGATAAAGAGTTCCAATAATAACAGATATCAGAAATGACCAGCAAAATATAGAAAAGAGCGATGTAATAAAAAATGTAAAACATTTAAACGACATAAAAGAAGAATCGTTCGTATATTTCTAACAATAAGCGATAACAAAAATATTTGCAAATAGAACGAATACTCTTTCGAACGAAAAATAATGAAAGTGAAGCGTGAAAGAAAAAAGGTAATTTCTCCATCAATTAGTTATAATCACGGAAAAAAAAAATTAGCTGCCGTAGCTAAAAACTGCGTGTAGTAACTAGATTTCAGTCGTAATATATGGACAGCGAAAATCTTAGATGTGACACCTATTTATTAGGTGCAACAGCAAACATCTTAGCTGTGATACCTATTTATTAAGTGCAACAGCAAACCGTTTTGCTGTAGTTTAGAAATTTATTTTGCAAACCATGATTAGCTATGGTAGCGAAAATTTTTTTTTCCGTGAAGGTTACCATCTCGAGCTTTGCAACCGGAGATTGTGTTCTAGAAAAAAAAAGCGAAAGAAAGAAGAAAACTTCAGTTTAGAACTTCTTCTCCAAAATATTATTACATCTTTTCATAGTTGAGGTCAAATTTTGATATATAAAAGGATCTTTTCCTCTTAATTAAAAGTAAGTATACTGAACAACAAACAGCGAATGCAAATTTTCATTATTAAAGTTCGGAAGATGTTGACGCTATAATGAAATGCAAACGGAATGTTCGTTAACGTACAATTTGCTCCTAAAGTGGTACGTTAAAGAAAGTTTTAAATGAATTTAGTTTTGTGCGTTTGTTGTATTCATTCGTTGTTCGTTCGCTTGTGCATACTTACTTTTATAAACGCGTTGTCGACCAATCACGCTTACATTAAATGTTTCGTTCGCTATCCAAAACGTATCTTTTTTTTTTATATAAATAACATTCGGCGATATAAAAAGATATTTTTCACTCAGAGAACGGATATTTCGAAAGACTCGTTTTAAATTCCGGAAATTCAGGGCACTAGGAAAGTGACAATCCTGATCAGTTATTCCATCAAATGTCGATAAACTTATCAAAGATATGCTCAGCATTTCGTGGAAGATATATTAGCGTGTTCGGTGATCCGAAATCTCCATACGTTTCGCCGCACCTATATCACGGCGAAATTGATCAATATGTAAAACGATGGAGTTATAGCCTGTCATATCATATCGATATAGCGATTTATGAGTTTGCGTGAACACGAATGCTCTGCCGTGCTCGAATAACAAAGCGCTGCCTCGCAATACTGTGACAGGATACATAATAGCCAATTATTTGACAAAATACAGTGGTACATCTCTTTCTCCTCCAATTATCCAAATGATTCGTGACATACACGCGGGAAGTACAATATACGTAGGCGTAGAGTTCATTCTGATACTACATGAAAACGCTAATTAAAATCGCTTTGACTCTCTTATTTTCTCTTGTATTACTGCTCCATGATACCTGATAAAATATTAAAACGACTAATTAACCGTCTTAAATATTACATTAGTTGAGCGATTGCGTGCGCTGCTAGCCGCGATAAGTAAAATTTACGATGACCTTTCAATTGTAAACGACAGATGAAATCTCTCTTTTTACACTCATATATATATATATACACACACACACACACACACATTATGCTAGGCCTGCGCAATCTTTACTAAAGTGTGATCGACTTTCATAACACGCTATGAATTTTTTGTTCTTTTTTTTTAGAAGACGGAGAGCTCATTACGAAAACAAATAAGTAGTGATATTGCACCATACAATTTCTTTTTTTAAAACTTACAAAATACTTGTGTACTCTTTTCACTTAATGTGTTGATTTTGCCTGCACTTCATACTTTACCAGTTGAAAATTAGGTAAATAATGCGTGAGATTAAATGTTTAAATAAGAAAAAGCCGCTTTACACAAATATGTAAAATCAAAACAGGAGTAAAGCATTTCACTGCATGTTCTTAAACTAATTGTAAGTAAGAATCACACTGCGGTCGACGGATTGAGCAGGCCTGCATTATATAATGCGATTTTTGTTGATCTCAGGACCGATGCAAAATCATACACACACTTTGGAATATTAATTTTGATATTCTAGCCATAATTGCAATGCAAGCTATGTGCACGAATTTATGCAAATCAGTCGATAAAATAAATTATGCCAGAATTACAGACAGTATCAAGTCAAATTGAATGAATATCGTAAACTACTAGATATCATCACAGCATCGCAGTCAATTACTTCGCAATGGATGCAGTACAAGGCAACTCGTAACTACAAATGGTAATTGCTATTTTAGTCGAACGGCCAAAGTGACTAAACAATTTAAGAAAATACTCGTTGAAAAGCAACGTTCTTGTGATAACGAGAACGTAATCATCAATGACTCTTGGAGAGATAATTAAAGGGTGTGTACGTTAAAAGCGCACTCCTCAAGGAGCTTCTCCGCGACGGCTTCTTGCGCCATTTACTTTTGAGTTGCGAAAAAAATATTGTCAGATAAAATAATTTGGTAACATTATAGATTAATATCCTTTAAAATCCAAAAATAAAATATTTTATTTCTATTTATGGTAACATATGATATCGAACGTTTTCTTTTATCGGGCGCAGAATTACTTCAAGAAAACCATACATTTTTTATTTCGAAAATTTTTATTTTATTGTTAAAAAAATTAAACAAGTAATAAGGTGGTTAATCATTGAAATATTATTACTAAAAATTTCCTATATGAAAATTTCCTTCTAAAAAATCTTACTCCATCACAAAATTTTCGAATCAGTTTTATTAATCTTCAATAATTATTCGTATTTATCATCGTCATTCGGTTGATCATTTGTAAAGTCCATTCGACTGGATCCTACAGTGCCTTTCTACTTGATGAACGAATAATTAAGTTCGCCAGTTCCATTTACAGTGTATCTTTTATTTATGCAATAGCGCCTCAGGGATTGGTCACCATAGAGATACCAAGGGCGCTGATTTCTCGCTAAATTATACAAGCTATCAGAGTCACCGGTTGGATGATCGGTTCGGCAGCGGTCAGACTTTTAATTTTACGCAATCGTGCATTACTAAAGCATCAAGCGTTTCTCGAAAGTCTCGAAGAATTACTATGCAAAACGGCTACTTATAAAACAAATATTAAAATTTATTCTCTTGAACGCGTCTCGCTCTACGTCATGGATTTTTATTTCACGCTGACGTAAAAGCATTTTATCATTTATATTATCTTTACTAGTTCTTTAATAGTCGCGCGATTATTCATAGTTAAATTAATGTCACAATTTATTCGCATGTTATTACGGAGATAACTAAAGAGAGTAGCTACTCGAAAAATTTTAGAGTTTTTAAAGAAATTTAGAAACAAGGTAGATAAGTATTTATCGAGCTATTGTAACGCGCGATTGAGCCGGGAACGGATCACGTCACTACCCAAAGTTTTATTTTTTCGATCTTTAATTCGTGGCGAAATAGGCGTGGTCAACGAACTTCCGTTGGGAAAACGATAGCTTTCCTCTTCGTGAGAGGCTGCCATAAATCTGGCAGAACTTAATATCGTCCCGCTCCCCCAGTTCCGTGTCTCTCTATACGTTTTATCGTTCGAAGTACGACGACAAATTCGACAAGAGAAAACGTTGAGGGGAGCAAAGAATGAAGAAGCGACGAATGCTTGCCAGAGAGGAGAGTTCCCGGGTCATCGACTTTGGCATTCGCGTGTTCCACCCTTGCTGAATACATGCGTATTTTGAAAGGGTCGTTCGATATTCTATATTCCCCGCGCACGAAAAGAAATAAAGATAGAGAAATATCATTGAATACCAATAATATACATTTTCTGTAACCAATTAAAACTATAAAAAGAGAAACGTAAGAAAATATGCAAATAATCAACCGCATCCTTGGCATTTTAGAGAAAATGTCTTTGCACAACTGTTGGGATTATAAAATAGAATGACGAAATAAAAGGCACGCGGAGAAGATTATAAGCAATAGAGTTCAAGGATAAACGCGCGGCTGTAAAGATTGTTTCGGATCAATTTTTGATACGTAGTCGGAGATAGATTAATTCCCGGTAGTGGAACAAAAGTATTGAGCAGGGGAAGGGAAGAGAGGAAAGGGGAAGAAGGTAAATGAGCTTTGCAACCAAACAAAATAAATCCTCGTGTTTCCGAACGATTGATTCAGGTTGGAATATTGCCAGCTATCGCGTACAATAATGTTATATACAATAATGGCATTTATTTATTCGATGATGCCGATTGACGCAGTGAATCTGAAATCGAGCACAATAATGTGCGATTATGGAAAAAGTGGCGGTTATATGTAAATTTAT